GAGTGTTTAACAGGATATAATCTCTAAAATCTGTATAATTAGGTACTTTATTATTATTAATCATGTTGAGAATAATAAAAATTTACTATGGGACATAAAACCACAAGTCTCTTAGTTGGCTAAACAGAAATTAGTTTGCATCTTTTTAAGATGCTGCCTTTTCACATAGGTAGGAAACTTAAGCCTAAGTAGAAATTATCTTTTTTGTTTCATAACAGTTTATTGAATACCTACTATGTGCTCTGACTACATTGCTTCATTTAGTCCTAATAATAAATGCAATAAAGTGAGTTACTTCACATATGAGGTACCTCTACCTCAGATTTTGGGTCACTTTGCTAGTAAATGGTGAATTCATGATTCCAGCCCAGAACCGTCTTTCCAAAGTCCTTTATCACGACCACGACGCTAATGCGGTCTTCCTTGAAAAGTAAATATAAAATACGTTTTCATCAAATATTGTCAGTTAATCAAGGCATGGAAGAATCCTAGAAACACTTGTGAAATGAATGTTTAGATGTATTGTAATTATTGTAGTCAGTTATGTATTGTGTCATGGCTGTTCTGTAGATTGAATTATATCTGGGGTCTATGGTAAGGTATCTGTGCTCCCGATTTACATTATATTAGAGCTGGCATCACTTTGGAAGTTAGCAAAAGTGCCGTCTCCTAAGGTTTCCAGAATTTCTTCTTCTAAGTAGTATCAGAGTACTAACTAAAAACTGCTCATTGTCCAATTTCTATTTTATGCTACTATTATTATTACCAGATATGAATTTAAGATATGTTCACATTATATGAATGCTTAAGATGTTGTAAACAAACAAATAGCTGTATGTCATAATTGTATTTTCTAAATATAGTCAGACTAAAGAGGGAAAGATAAAGAAGAAGGCAGAAAAGGAAGACATAGGGATATGGTAGGAGATATGACCAGAAATAGTGTAGCCACTTTGGAAAACAGCTGGGTAGTACCTCAAAAAGTTAAACATAGTTATCATATGTCCCAGAAATTCCATTCCTAGGGTAATAATTAATAATAATAGCCAAGTAGTGGAAACAACTGAAATATCCATCAACTGATGAATGGATTAACAAAATGTGACATATCCATGCAATGGAATGTTATTCAGCCATAAAAAGTGAAATACATGCTACATCATGAATTAACCTGAAAACGTTCTAACAGAAAGAAAGCCATCACAAAAGACCACATGTTGTGTGATTCCGTACATATGAAATGTCCAAAATAGGCAATTCATGGAGACAGAAAGCAGATTAGTGGTTGCCAGGGTCTGGGAGGAGGGAAGAACAGGGAGTGTCTGCTATTAAGTATGAAGTTTCTTTTTCGGGAGAAAATAGTGGTGATGTTTGCATGATCTACTGAATATACTAAAAATTACTGAATCTACACTCTAAAAGGGTAAATTTTATATGTGAAATATATATCAATTCTAAAAATATGACCAGAGATTCTTTATATTTGTAAAAGCCAATTTAAAATCTTATTGTATGGATATGTAGGTATAATAAAAATATAAGTATTTTAATTTTCAAATACTAGTTAACTTTGTTATAAAATAAACTTATGCTATCTGTCCTTCAACTATATCATTTGCATATTTTGGGAAATAGGTAGACAATTGGTCTACAAAATGCATTTTGTATTTAAAAGCTTCAACTCTCTCCACATATACATGTTCACACACATACATAATTTTTTTTCTTTTAAGTTGCGGTAGTTATAAATCTTTACCCTTAACTCCTTTAGGGTATATTTTCAAAGAGCAATGATATTCTCTAAGATTACCATAACACAATGATCAAATTGATGAAATTTATGAAATTGATGAAAATTAACATTGCTATAATATTATCTAAACATACTTTTGTTGGTTTGCAAATTAGCTTCCTACACAGAGGGCAAAGAGAGACCACAAAAGAGGCAGATCACTCTAGATTGGTTGGTGGGTTTTAATAAGCAAAGACACTTATATACGAGTGTTGTCTTGGGAATCCATAAGATGAGTAAACCTCTGCCCCTGCCCACTAGAATTTTAAAAGTTTATATAGAGGTCTTAACTGGGTTTAGTCATGTTTACCATCCATATGGCCTCAACAATACAGTGCTCTTTAAAGACTGTGTTTCTGAAAATGGCTCCAGCTGTGGGAACCATGGGCAGTCTAGTCATTCCCAGGGCATGGGAGGGGGTGAGAAACCTCCAATTTTCCCAGGTCTAGTTCACAGAATATCTAGCAGTCATATCCTCTCAATAACCTCCTCCAACAACTTTATATATTCAATTTTTGACAATTGTCATAATATTATTCTTTATAGTAAATTGTTTTTCTCCATCCAGCATCATACATTGCATTTTGAGTTGCTATGTCACTCAAGTTACTTTTCATCTGAGAGTTCCTCAGCCTTTCTTTGTTTTTTTGTTTTGTTTTGTTTTGTTTTTATGACATGACATTTGTAGAGTGCAGGACTGTTGCTCTTGTTTTTATTTTTTAAGAAATTCTCTCAATTTGGTTTTGTGTAATAGTTTCCTCATGATATGATTCATGTTACATATTTTTTTTTGCAAGAATATCACCTATATTAGTTCCTAAGATCTTCTGTAACTAAAAGCTTAATGGTTTAAAACAATAGAATTTTATTTTTTCATAGTTTTAGAGGCCAGGAGTCAAAATCAAGGAGTTGGCAGGGCCACTCTTCTTCTGAAAGCTCTAGGAGAGAGTCTTTCCTTGCCTCTTCCAGCTTCTGGTGGTGCCAAGCATTCCTTGGCCTATGTTAGCATAACTTCAATCTCTGTGTCAGTATTCATATGACTTTCTTTCTTTCCTGTGTTTCTCTTATTCTTATAAGGGCACTTATTGTATTTAGGGCCCATCTGGTTAATTAAGGGTAATCTCTTCTCAAGACCCTTAACTTAATTACATCTGCAAAGATCCTTTTTTCCAAATAAAGTCACATTCACAGATACCAGGTGTTAGGATTTGGACATATCTTTTTGGGTCCACAATTCAACCATTATACTACCTGAATGATGTTGTGTTTTTCTAAAAGGATAATATCAAGATGCACCAAATGTAGGCAGAGCTAGGAAATAAATTTTTTGTTGAAAAAAATCATGAATTCATAGTGATACTCTAATTCATAAGAGTTTTTTTTTTTTCATGTGTTCCCACATTCCAAATTCATATCTTCCTTCTCCCACACTGAGAATCCTAGCTCCTAACATTATCAAAATGTTCACTTTGGTCAATACTGCAACATACATAAAATAGTTCCAGAATTAATACACTTATATTCTTACCAACAAGAAGCTGCCAAATAAAGTTCTAGATATCTGTACTGTTTCTTCAACTGAAATTATGTAGTTAAAGTAAAAAGTTACTTGGATCAGTCACTCTTTACCTTTCTGTGTGATTATGTTATTCACTTGATATACTATTTAGTCCATTTGTTTCTTTTTGTATTCAATTTTAGGGTTTATTCCTTATCCGTTGCATTAGTTTCTGGTTTATTGTGTTTCCTTTTGTAAATATAAGCAGATAAATGTATATTTTCTTATTTTGCTTTTATTTTGCATGAAGGTAGTATACTACAGTCAGCCCTCTGTATCCATGGATTCTACATCTGTGGATTTAACCAACTGTTAATCAAAAACATTTTTTAGAAAATGAAATGTTGTTGCTGATATGTACTATGTCATTAGGCCTATGATGGTTGTATCTGTACTGAACATTATTTTCTTGTAATTATTCCCTCAACAATACAGCGTAACAACTATTAACATAACATGTATTTTGTACTAGGTATTTTAAGTAATCTAGAGATGATGTAAAGTATATGGGAGGATATGCATAGATTATTTGCAAATGCTATACCATTTTACATAAGGGACTTGCGCATCAAGGGATTTTGGTATCCTTTGGTGTCCTAGAACCAATCCCCCCACAGATAACAAGGGATGCCTGTATATATCAATGATTCTCAAATGGGGATGGGATGGCTCTGCCCCACAGGGACAATATCAGGGGATTTTTGTTATTGTTACTGCCGTAGTGGATACTACTATACTAGCATCTAGTGGGTAGAGACCAGGTATTCTGCTAAACATCCTACAATACACAGGATAACCCTCAAAAACAAAGAATTATCTGGCTCAGTATATTCACAATGCCACAATTGAGAAACACTTCTATACATCTACTTTTGCACTTTGCTTTTCAACTCAACAATATCTTATGGAAATCATTCTATGTCAATTCATAAAGATCTACAAGTATTATAGTTTATTCAATCCATCTCCTTTGTATGGGCATTTAGGTTGTTTTCAATATTTTGCAATTACAAATACTGCTGTAATGAATAACCTTATGCATTTTTTGTTGGTGGTGGTGGTGGTAGTAGTTTTGGAAGTATATCGTTAGAGTAAATTCCTAGAGGTGGATCTAAGGCCAAATATGTTGGTTTGCCAAATCCCCTCCAAAGGGTTTCACCATTGTGTGAGATTACCTGTTTCTCCATAGGCTTAAGTGAGTTGTCAAGCTTTTGAACTTTTGCCAATCTGATAAATATGAAACTCAGTGTAGTTTTAATTTGTGTTTCTCTTATTATGAATGGCATTTAAAAAGAGTTTTGTTGTTCATATTGCTGGGTCAAAACCTTAATTTCATACTATTTAACCCAAGTAATATTAGACAAAATAAAGAAGCAATATTTACAAAACATAGCAAAACAAGTATGTATCTCTATGCTAAAAATATCCAACTGTCTCATGTTAGATTTTGGAATAGAATATACTTTTCTTGTGGCTTTGTCTCAATAAAATTTTACAGGAACATAATGGTATATTATCCTTCCTTGCCTGAGAGAGAAATACTGATCACTAGGTCATAAATATAATCCTAATGTAGTACGTAAAGTCTGCTGTGGAGTTTTCAGACCAACAGAATGTAACACTGAGTAAACTAAAGTTGGTGTTTTTTAGGCCATACATGTCTCTCGGAAGCCTTCGAGATCAGGTCATTTATCCTGATTCAGTGGATGACATGCATGATAAAGGCCATACAGACCATGATCTGGAATGCATCCTACACAATGTCCACCTTTATCACATAGTTCAAAGAGAAGGAGGTAAGCTCTATCACTCTTTTTAAAAATGCATTTAACTTTGTTTTTAAAAAATAAACTTGGGTAAATAAATAATCTGTGGTTTATTTTGAATGTATACTATGGTTGGAACATAGGCACACAAATAAAGATGGAGTTTACAACTTTTATTGCTTTTCCATTTTGACATCCTCTTTTGCACTTGTGTTACATTTCATATAGCACAATAGGCTTTTTATTAGGTCTACTGCTAGCATTTGAAGACAGTTTTTTTTCTCTGTCATATTTGAATGTACAAGTGTCCCCGAGGCCATTGTCAATCTAGATGTATTATTTTAAAATCCATGACAGAAATATTTTTCTGCCAACTTCTCAGCTTACATTTAACTTAATAATTTGAGAAGTAGTTGTCATGGAATTTCTTTTTTGTTTTCATACTCATGGTCTTACCAATAGATATATTTTTTTCTCTTTTGAGCAGCATATAGAGAATGAGATAAAATATGGAAATTTCTTTATTGTGGTTTCTCAGTATAAGACATAAGAGTAGGAATAGCATTTATATATAAGAGCTTAAAAAAGAATTGCTTTCTAATAATCGTACTTTCAAATAACTTGATAATATATCATTTAATAGTCTAGAAAAATGACTGAAACAACAAACTTGAATTCTAGATTTAATTTTTTATTGATTTTATCTTCTGTTTCCTAGCCCACTTACATTAGCAGAAGAAGCAGGGTAATACAATGAATAACTAAGAATGTGAGCTTTAAAGTCAGAGTTCTGGTATCAAATCTTAATTAGCACTGTTTCCTGTATCTTCAACTGTAGATGAGGATAAATATCTACTTTATAAGGATTCCACGAAGATTAAATAAGCCTCTATGTAAAGCATTTAGAACAGTTGGACATAGTAAATGCATAATAATTAGTAGCTAATGGTAATATTACTAGCTGTAATATTGATAACTACACTATTTTATCTTTGTGTGAGGGTACTTGATATTTTACATAGAAATTTCACATATATTATTTCATTTGATCCTTACAATAAGCAAATGAGACAGACAATAGAGGTGCTATATTTATTTTTATGGTGTTTATAATAACATAATTTAGAAATATGGAAAGGAGGTTGTCCTTTTGTTTCATATGGTCAACTCTTAGTTTTAAAATACTGGGGTAGAATAAATGCTTCATGTTAATCTTGGGTAAGTGATTTCGGGTAAGTTTGAAATCTAATAATCCAAATAGAAATTTATAATAAACATGGGATATAGAATGTTCTGTCTTTAATAATACAATAGTAATTGTATGGTTTATTGAGTGCTTACTATGCAGAATATAACATATTAAGCAATTCACATTGTCATCTTATTTAATATTTATAACTGCCCAGTGATCTGGGTTTTACTAACCTCCTTTTTACAGATGAAATTCAGAAGTTTAATATATTCTCCAGGAGCTTACAACAAGTGGTAAGACAAGGATTCAAACGCAGCTCAGAATTGAAAATCAATGTTCTATACTCGGCTATGCCACCGTGCTATGCTATCTCCCAGCTTCTTATACACTGATAATTGTTATATCCTTATACAAAAAAAAAAAAAAAAAAAGCCAAAGAAACCCACTTTACTTGCTTAATCCTTTAAGCGAAGCAGGAAAGCACTTAAATTTGCAAGTACATCACTTACTTTGGAAGAAACCTACTGAAGTTCCGTTCAGCTAATATCTTGCTTAGAGAAATGCTTTTTCAGTTAGAGAGGGAGTTAAAAACTATGTTTCATTCTATCAAAGAGGTTACAAAATAGAGAGGAATAGAAGTGTTAACAAAAAAACATGAGCTGAAGTAGTTTGAACATCTCTAGGAAACAGGAAAACCATTCTCTTCTTAGCTGTCTTAGTCTCACTAAATCAACATCAGAGGTGATATTACGACTTGGAGTTCTGATTAATGTGCTCTGTGATTAAGCAATATTGCCTCCCAAAACATTTTTTCTTTTTTTTCAGATGGTATGAGTGTTTGTTTGTTTTTTTTAATTTTTATTTATTTATTTTTATTATGGTGACATTGGTTAACGAAATCCAGTTAAGTTTCAGGTGAGCAATTTAGTAGTAAGGCATATACTTATAATAGAAGCCATTCAAATTAGTTCTATTTTACCCTTTGTAGACTCTGCAGTAAGCCTATGCAATATATATATTGCATTGTGTGTTCACTGCCCATAGTTAGATTTCTTTCTGTCACCACATATTTGGCCCCTTTTACCCCATCTTACCTCCCCTATCCCCACCTACCCCTCTGGTAACCACTAGTCTATTGTTCATGTCCTTGAGTCTCTGTTTGTCCTTTTTGTTTGTCACTTTTAGGTTTATATCCCACATATAAGTGATATTATGTGGTTTTCAACTTTTCTGTCTGGCTTATTTTGCTTAGCATGATTATCTCGAGGTCCATCCACGTTGCGGCAAATGGCCGTATTTCATTTTTTCTTATGGCTGAGTTTGGATTTAGTGAAATAAAGGATATGATTTATTTAAATATGTAAAGCTAAAATTTTCTTTAGCCCTAATATTTTTCTCTTGATGCTTTTCGGTTGGCAGAAGGAAAATATTTTAGTCCAGAATACTTCTCCACTGTGTAGCAATCCGACCCTGTTTTTTCAAATCCTCACTTAATGTTTCATAAATGCTATAAAATTTAGCCATAAAGCAAATTTTATTTTAATAGTTTTAACTAGAAGCAAGAACTTTAAATCAGATGGCATTTCGAGGTTTCTTTTCTAATATAAAATTATAAGGATATGTTTTTAAATAGAAAATTCCTGAAAATTTACCTAAGAAAATGACACACGCAATTCTGCAACTTGGTTTTTCATATTTAAAAATTCTGGATACATTTCTATATCAGTATGTATAGATCTAACCTATTTTTTTAAATAGAAGATTTGTCTTTTGAATAAATATTCAATAGAAAGTCAGTAGTTAAGATGTCGTAAGAGATGGCACAGATAAACAGTAAAAGCATGTTGACCTACATACAAATTATAGCTCTGATATCTTGCAGTGTAAACTTAGACATGTCAATTACTCCATGAATTTTAGTTTACCCATCTATAAAATACAACTTATAATATCTACCTGATAAAATTATAAGGTATATAATGAGAAAACTCATATAAAGTGCTAGGCACGTAGAAGCCATTCAAATTAGTTCTACTTTACCCTTTGTAGACTCTGCAGTAAGCCTATGCAAATTTATTGATCTTTTCTCCCACCACCCCTCAAAATAAGTACAAGTCTTTGGAGATATCAAGTCTTTGGAGATATTAAGAAACAAACACATTTTAAAATGTCAGTACTTACAATTCTTATATGTTTTGTCAGTATAAGGATTTGTTACCATTAAAACATATTGAATCTAAGACGAACTGTTTATACATGAGGTTCCCTAGTTTATCCAAGCGTATGTTTTATAAAATATTATGTTCTTTGTGTTGATAACTTAAACTTGCCAGGAATCGCTTCTCCAGGGTAAAAACAGTAACAGTTAAACAAATCGTTTATAAAATATATATCTTTGTTTTTTTGTTTTTAAGGATGGGATGCTGTTATGGACTGGAAAGATGTCCTGTCGGGAGGGGAAAAGCAAAGAATGGGCATGGCTCGCATGTTTTATCACAGGTAAGTGTGCTATACTCAGGAAACCACTGTTGCATTGTTGTAACCATAAAACCTTTAGACAGGATTCAGTGTCCTCATCTTTAGTTTAAAAATATCTTATTGAAAAACTAACGCTTAGAATTTATAGTGTAAAATCTTTCTTCCGTTATTTTCTAATGAGACAAAAATCTCCAAGTCTTTTTTCCTCTTCCTTTTATGTTGACTAATGTTAGATGATAAAAATAAATTTTTATGTATTATAAGTTTGAAAGCAAGATTATTATTAATTTTAAGTTGTGAAGAATAATAACCACTATTATACTGTTGTGAACACAGTAGGTAGTCATTCAATAATACTTCTGAATTAAATTGTTAAATTCAAACTAAATTAATTTTTCAACCATTAAGTAGCCTATTAAATAACGCTCTCCTCCTCAAAAATTAGAGACATGTCCAATGGCAAAAGGACCTAGTCAGCATAGGTCTCAATAGACTCAGAAAAATAGAGATACAGGAAATGATTTCTCTTGATAAAACTTTTTTTCCTTGTAATCAACTTCATGTTCATTGGAGTTCAAAGGTAACAAGCACAAAAAATATTAAAGCTATTCGGATTTATTCCAATTATCAGTCCTATTCTTCTCTGAAAAATAGATCTCTCTCTCTCTCTCTCTTTTATTATGATTATTTTTTTTATCTTAGGCTTCTGGCAGTGAGAACCTGAGTTGTATGCAGAGCAGGGGGTTATCAGGAAATAAGTTACTCACTTTTAGTCCTTACATCTTGATCAAAAAGGACCAAGAGTTACATACATGAATGCATGAAAGGGCCATAAGCTGGGGCAGATATTATACCCTTGAAGGAGTTGCAGTGTAAGCATTAATACTTTTGTAGACAACTTTAAAAAACGTATAAAAAGAGCAAAAGAATATCAGGTAAGCCTCATTAAACACTCAGCACTTAGTTGGTCCACACTTAGTAACTAGTTGGCTATCAGTTTTTTTAAAAAACCTTTTGGTATGGAAAAAACATGGAAGTTTCATCAAAGAAGAGAAAATTATAAGATGAACCCCATATTCCCAACATGTTGATTCAACAAGTCTAATATTTTGCCACATTTGATTTACCTTTTTTTTTTTTTTAATTTCAAAGCATTTTAAAGTAAATCCCAAATATCGTGGCATTTTTTTCTCTTACATACTTTCTTAGATAATAAAATTGATAATTATTTAAAGTTATCTAATACCTGGTTCATAATCAAAGTTTCCCTAATTGCCTCAAAGATATCTTTTTAGACTTGGTTTCTCACACCAAGATCTAAATGTTTTACGTATAGGTTTTTGTTGTATCACTTAATTAATTGTTAATATAAAGAATCTCTGTTCCTCTCTGGCCCCTTCCCTTACCTCATCTTTTATGCCATTGACTTGTTAAAGAAACTGAGTCAGCTAAAGAAACTGTTCTATAAGAACGTTGCCCATTCTCTAGAATACATTTGATTGCTTCTTCATGGGGTCTTTTATTTATTTCTCCAATCTCCTACTTTTCCTGTAAACTGAAAATTAGAGCTAAAAGCTTAATTATATTCAGGTTCAGTCTTTTTGATAAGACTATAATATATAATATCATTAAAAACAAATCTTTTTAACAATTTTATTAAAATAAAGTTATATGTTCATTTTCTAAAAGTAGAAAATTTAGATAAACAAAAAGAAAAAAATCTGTTATCATATTACCTATAACACTTAAAATCTTAGTCTTAGCATACAACAGTTGGTTATCTTGATTTTTTTAATGTAACTGTTTTCATAAAGTATATTACAATCTATTGCCCTCTTTTTATTTTGTAAGCTATAATGTGTATCATTATGTGATAGGTAGTCAGGCTTTTTAAAAAATTATTATTAGTGTAAAATTTTATGTACCTAATGCACAGACTTTAAGTATACAATTCAATAACTTTGGGTAAATGTATATAAATTAAGTAACCAACACCCCAATTAAGATAGAGAACATTTTTATCACCTAGAAAGTCCTTCATGCCACTTCCCAGTCAGATCCACCATAGATACTTTCTGTTTTGATTTCTATCATCATAAATTAGTTCTTCCTGTTCTACAACTTCATATAAATTAAATCAGACAGTATGTATTATTTTTGTGTCTTGCTGGGGTTTTTTAATGAGGAAATTATTGTGTCAGCATGGTATTTGTAATAATGTACGTGTTTAAAGAATATGGCAAGCTGAAAAAAATATGAGCCAAAATTTGCTAACTTAGAATTTTTAGTAAAGTGCCTTTTGTCATGCCCCTTTCTCAGACGATGTGGTAAGATTCAACAGTGAACTTTACAGTTTGACATTTATAACAGCTGTTACCTACTATCACCCTGAATTTGAGCCTTGTCCACAAATATTCAGTAATATGATCACTAGCATAGTTGGTGAAATATAAGATGATGGAATGTGAAATGTGACTGTGAATTTCTCACTGTCAGTGTGTTAATAAAATAAACCATATAATAAAGAGCAAGAGGCATTAATAAAAGATGCCAACCCAAAGAGATTTCAAGTACCTGTAAGTTGAAATAAATAGTTGATACTTATGTATGTAAAATATTTTGGGTACAATGTCAGACTGAATAAAGATCAAATTACAAGCATAACAGTGGGAAGGAAATTTAGTGATCCAGAGGAAGATTAGTGAAGATAAGGAAGTTGTTGAAAAGCAGAATCTATTGAAAAAAAAAATGAAGTAAACTCAGTGAAGGAAAAGTGTAATAATGAGAAACTGCCTCCTCTCATCCTCAAAGGATTAATAAAAAGATTTTACTTGCTATGTGAAAGACTTGAGCTAGCTAAAATGGAGACTTTGGCAGGGAGAATTAAGTATCATAATTGTATACTCTTTTTGAGAAGATTTTAATTTTAATGTTTAAAAAATGATCAGTAAAGTCCTGTCTTAAGGGAGATAGATTAGATCCTCTGCAAGGCTCACTTTTCTGATGACACACCAAAAGAAAAAGGAAGAAAAACCTGAGAAACAATATTATCTAATGTTTTATTTAGTTGTATTAGTTCCAGATTCCAACCATTGCTTAATATTTTTAAGTACACATACACAGCTCCCCCCTTCCACACACACACACACACCCACACACTCACCCACACACACACACACACACACACACACATCCCAGCCTGCTAAGGAAACAAAAGAGTGCAATATATCTTACAGCTGCTAGACTAGGGGTTGCTATGACAACAGAAAGTGGGCTTCTTTTCTAATTGTAAAATGGCATCTCTAGTCTCTTTACCTCAAAGCACTATGAAAAGGAAGACACAATATAAGTAAGTTAATTAATGCAAAGAGATTTATGCAAAAAAGCAAATTTTACCCAAACCTATCTCTCTTTTTTTAAATGTGAAAATTTAAAAATTTTTTAAATTACTTTTAATTATAGTTGACATAAAGTGTTATATTAATTTCAGATGTGTAACATAGTGATTCAACATTTATATACCTTATGAAGTGATCACCACAGTAATTCTAGTAACTGCCTGCCACCATGTCTACTCCCCACTTCCCCAACCCCCTGAACAGGTAACAAGAACTTATTAAAAAGCAAATCTCATCATAGAAAAGAAATTTATAGTGCTAAACAATTATTTATGCTGAATGAGAAATTACTACTAGTTTCAATTTTTATCTTTTTATTGTAATTTATTTATTTTTTAAAAATATATCTTCATAGAGGAAACTTTCCTGGTAAATACTTGATACTAATTTTCAAAATTGAAGTAAAATAACAAAGACAGTGCATGAGTTGACCTTTGGTCCTATTAATAAAGCTAAGTCATGTTGCTGAGTACCAAATACATACCTAAAGTCCAGACAGACTTGAAAGAAGACAGTAGTGAGGAAAAAAAAAGATAAGAGTAAGGTGGTAAGATGAAAGGAAGAGAATAAACAAAAGAAAATGATGGCAGTGAAAGGTGCCTCTGATAGTAGTAGAAAGTTATTTCCAGAGTAAAACTTGAGCTAGAAAAAACAAAATTGTTGAGTACAATCAGAAAACTTTTGCTATTCTTTTCCCTAAGAATTTTATTAAGAAGCGTGGTCACACTGTTGTCAGGTTAAATGCCTACTCTAAACTTGTCAGATTAGTTAAACTTAAACTTTCCTAGTCTTATAGCAATGAAATTCCATTAATAGTGATTAGGTACTCAGATTGTTGATAAAATTATCTTTTCAGTAAATCTTTCCTAATAGGGCTGTGGCTTATTTGGTAATTAGCTATTGTAATGTATTTTTCATGTAATTAGTCAGAACCTTGTCACCAAGAATGAACCTGCCTTCTGCAGGAAAGTGCACTCAGTGACCTGCCTCCTCTTTTCCTATGCCTCAAATTTATGGTTCACCCATCTGCATAACAATAGAGCTTATTGTGAGCATGTATCAGAAAATCTATTTAAAATTTAAGGAGAATATGATATTCTAGTCCAAAGAGAGGGGGATGACTGCTCTTTAGCTTTATCATTTATCACTTAATAATGTCATAGACTCTTTTGCTCCTTTAAAGTTAACATCACAACTCATAGTGTTCAAATAAAGGTTATCATTCAAATAGGAAAATATTAATTTTTTTGTATTTATATTTTTAAAGACCAAAATATGCATTGCTAGATGAATGTACCAGTGCTGTCAGTATTGATGTTGAAGGAAAAATATTTCAGGCTGCGAAAGGGGCTGGAATTTCCTTACTGTCTATAACACACAGGCCTTCTCTTTGGTAAGTGTTTGCAATGCAAATTTGTGATAGATGTTTTTTTTCCTTTTGTTTCCTAAAGATTAAGCTTTCTAAACTTTTCACTATAGAGCATAGGACTTTTCGCTTATTTTCTATCTATATTTCTGTTAAGTTGCAGACTAATAGTTTACATACCCCAAACCTAGCATTATAACATTAATGAGCTATTTGAAAACTATCATCGCATTAAAAAAAGTAGAAAAACTTGGTGATTTTTTTTTAACTGAAAATATTTTAATTTCATAGCATGTACTGGGAAATAATATATTTATGTAATTTTAGTCCTTTTAGTCATATTTTTAGTCTTTTCTTCCAAATCCAAGAAAAGGAAAAAAATGATTAAGTTAAAAAAAGGAGGAAAAAAAGGCTTTTTTGGTTTTGTTTTAAGGAAAAACCAACAAAAATATTTCCCCTTTTTAAAAAGTGATGGCACCATTTTTACCATTCCCCTATTTTCCACTGATTCATCATCATAATAATTGTTGCTAATGTAAGATTCAGCACCTATTCTCTTCTAGGCTCATTTTACTTAAGCCTCATAACAATCCTAAAGAATATAGCAGTCTAATTATTCCCATTTTACAGATGAAGAAACTGAAAACTAGAAAAATGAGAAAAGTTACTTACCATGATTGTACTCTCTATATTATAGTATACTACTCTACCTGTTGTAAGGAACTCAAAATGTATCTCATGCATAAACCATAAAAACACTATTTCATTCATATGATATTCCACTGTCAACTTTCATATTCTGTTTTATCAATCAAAATCTTTTTTTGACATTTTGGGTAACTAGAGTGGATTCTATATTCTTGGCCTATTTCCCAAGGGACAGGCTGAAGCATTCTGTAGCATTCTGTAGCAGGTGGCTGATCACATTCTATGCCGAAGCTGTCATCATGTACATGACTTGAAACCTAGACTAAGTAACAAGCTTTATTTGAGTCAATCCTTGAAGTCCTTCTAGACCTTTCACCTTATAGAGAATGTTTACTTAAAAATTGTGAGTATACTGAGTATTCAGGTTACATCAGGCTTTTATTGTTCAAAGTTCTTTGAATTCTACTTCTTTTGAGAAGATAATAATCTATTTTCACACTTCATTTAAATATTCAAATTTTTCATGATTTTTTTTTTTCTCAGAGAATTGATCTTAAATAGAGCATTCCATGAAGTGACCATTTCTATGAAAATACGTGGTTTATTGCTCTGTCGTTAAGATTTAATTGGCATCTGGAGAGACAGGGCCCTGATTTGCTAATCTCTCCAGAGGCAGTCTCTTGATCTAGTCCTGGATGAGTTAGAGTCCATATCAACGATATGATTCCTGTGACTTTCCCTGGAGAAAACCGACAGGAACTAGTTAAGACAATTATGAGATTTATTTGTAAATTTTCTGAATTGGAGATGACATAGAACTGGGCCAGAAAAAATTTTGAGTACACTCTGGTATGGACTTGTCATTTACAGACATGCTTTCTAATCAATCGCATGTTGGGTTAACATGGAGTTATATCTGGGTCCTGTTTTCTCACCTCTATCAATGGATTTATTATGCTCTTCTGTCATTCAGTTCCTTATTCAAGTAGCCTAAAGAAGAATTGGAAGCAGTCAGCCATTTTTTCTCAGTTGAAGGAACAAATAGGTTGTTGTTTTTAAGACTTTACTTTTTTAGAGCAGCTTTATGTCCACAGCAAAATTGAGAGGAAGGTACAGAAATATCTCATATACTCACTGGCCTACATATGCGTAGCTTCACCCATCATTAACATCCCACAACAGAGTGGTACATTTGTTAAAGTTGATGTACCTATATTAACACATCATTCTCACCAAAGTCCGTAGTTTACTCTTACGGTTCACTCTTGGTGTTATACATTCAGTGGATTTGGACAAATTTATAATTACATGTATCTGTCATTATAGTATCATACAGAATATTTTCATTGCTCTGGAAAACCTCTGTGCTCTGCTTATTCAGCCCTCCATTCTCCTCGTTCCTAGATATCACTGATCTTTAAGGTCTCCATAGTTGTGCCTTTTTCAGAATGTCTTACAGGTGGAATCATGCAGCTCTTTAGATTGGCTTTTTCACTTAGTATTCATTTACATTTCTTCCATGTCTTTTCATGGCTTGATAGCTCATTTCTTTTTAGTGCTGAATAATACTCCATTGTTTGTATGTGCGCAGTTTATTCATCCATTCAGCTACTGAGGAACATCTTGGTTGCTTCCAAATTTTGGCAATTATGAATAAAGCTGCTATAAACATTCATATGCAGGTTTTGTGTGGAAATATGTTTTCCCAATTTCTTTGGTTCAATATCAAGAAGTGCAATTCAGATCATATGTAAGAACTGTGTGCCAAAGCGGCTATAACAGGTTACATTCCCACTAGCAATGAAAGAGATTTTCTGTTGCTCCACAGCCTTGTCAGCATTTTATGTTGTCAGCATTCTAGATTTTGGCCACTCAAATAGTGTGTAATGGACAAATAATATTTAAGGGAATAACAAAATCCATAAGTTTATACATTTTAACAAGAAAAACATTTTAAATTGTAGCTCCTCACAGTACATCTCACATACAATTAAAATTCATTTTAGTTTCTGCTTTATGAATTATTTTAGGTTATAGAAATTTATCATTTCTTTTCTCCTGATTATCCTTTCTCCCTAGATAAAATTCTTATTTCCCCTGAAAAGATTTTAGAAGAGAAAAAGATGTGTTATATGTTTCCCCATAACAACAAATGGATAATTTTTTATTGTAAGGATTAAAATCAATACCAGTACCTGAAGTGGTAAAAATTGTAGAAACTCATTAAATTATTTGGTTCCTGGATAGAATTATATATAACTTTATGATTACTACTTTCTTGTGCTTTATCCTACTTGTGCAGGAAATTCATAGATTATTTCCAATTACTCTCAGTTAATAGTTTCTTATAAATTCCTCTAAGATAAACTCTGACATGTTATTTTAGCCTATAATCTAGAACACGCCTTTGAATCTCATTTCATGAAACACCTATACGGTTTCCTCCTTCCACGTAGAAATCAAATAATGTTGTAGGACTGGAGTGATGAGCCAAACCTTCCTTATATATTGAAGATGGAAGTTGCCCAAGATCTGAATTACCATATTCTAAAATTGCTTGTGATTGTAGATCCAAGGTGAGGAAGGCCCAAGAAAAGTTGAGAATAAAATTTTAAAAATGACATTTTTACCATTATTTCTCTTTCCTGTATGACCATACTTCTTTTGTTTTTTTTTTCATTACTTTTGTTTTAGCTCTCATATTTTAATGACAATATTTTCGCATTTTTATTTTTTCCCTTGACATAGAAATACATTGTTTGCACTATAATTTTTGTAAGGCTCTACATGTTGAGAGGTCAAATTTTTGAAAACTATAGAATCTAAACATAGTAGATACTCAAAAGTATATGGAAAAGATCATTAATCTCTGTCATATGTTATCACATACATGAACTTCAACCTTCATTCAGCCTGAGAGTGATTTTACTCTTTTAGACATAGTTTAACCTAGCTTAGTTTTACCATTGTACATCATATTAAAACCAACTAACCAAAATAGAATGAAACCCAAACACCCATCAAATGATGAATAAATAAATGAAATGTGCAATACATACAATGGAATATTATTCAGCCATAAAAACTAATGAAGTATTAACACATGCTACAACTAGATGAACTTCAGAATCATGTTCTTAAGTGAAAGAATTCAGTCACAAAACAGCACATATTTTATGATTCCATGTAGATGAAACATCCAGAATAGACTACTCCATAGTGATAGAAAGGAGATTAGTGGTTGACAGGGGCTGAGCAAAAGGAGAAATGGTGAGGCACTGCAAATGGGTACTGGGTTTCTTTTGGGGTAAAGAAAATATTCTGGAATTGGATAGTGGTGATGGTTGCATAAGTTTGTTAATATACTAAAAAATCACTGAATTTTTTACTTTAAAAGAATTAATTTATGGTATGTGAATCATATCTAAATTAAAAAACGGTAAAAGATACTTGAAATAAGCCTACTGATCACAGTAAATAATGACAGACGATAACTTTAAAGGGAACAAGAAATGAGAAACAACTATAAGGGAAAGACAGAACTGAGGACACATATTAACATAGGTCACTTCAGCATAGTGACAAAATGCAGTGGCTCAGCCATATGAGGCCTGCTCTGCCAGCATTATTCTCTCTATACATGCCCACAAATCTCCTCTAGCTGATGACCTTAGCCTCCCCTTAGGAGAAAATGAATTGTCTCCTGTCTCATCAATAAAATCATCTCTAAACCTCTTTGAAGAACATAATTATGCACTTGAGCCATGTGAAAAGACAGTAAATTATATGTAGGCATGGAAGTATCTTTAAAAGATTTCTATCAAAGAGTTTATTTTAAAAATATTTTAAAACTAATTGTTGAGAGATATTTACTTATGTAGAATAACTCATTCTCCAAGGAGGGGGTATTAATGAATTGGTACTGCATTTCCTTTATTTTTCTTAGATTTTTTCTCACATAACCTTTAAAATTTTTACTTTCTTCCTTCCCTATTCCCATTCTGAGTATGCTTTGATATTTATTCAGTAGCCATACTGAATTATGAAGATAAATAGATGCCAAAGCATGTCTGTCTTTGCAATACATTCAGAATATAAAATAAATGTAACATAAGAAATAGAATGTCCTAGAGATTCATTACTTTTGGAGTAAAAAAAAATCACAAAATTTAAGCTCTTGCGGAATTCTTGAAAATCAAATGTAAAATAGACTCCTTATTTAAAATTTACTTTTGGAAATCAATTAGAATGATAAACCTATAAATAATATGGCTTTTTACAATTACTGCTAACAATATTATTTCACTTTGATTGTGCAGGAAATACCACACTCATTTATTACAGTTTGATGGTGAAGGAGGCTGGCGCTTTGAACAGTTGGATACCGCAATCCGTTTAACACTGAGTGAGGAAAAACAAAAGCTAGAATCTCAGCTAGCTGGAATTCCCAAAATGCAGCAGAGACTCAATGAACTATGTAAAATTTTGGGTGAAGATTCAGTACTGAAAACAATCAAAGATGAAGATTAAATATCCTAATTTGTTTTGACATGTTTTAAAAGTAAATTTTTAGATAAAGGCTCAGAAACACTGTTATAGTGCACGCATTGTGTTAACCTAAGCACAGAGAAAAAAAGCAGCAAGAAATATTTTATAAGATTTTAGCATCAAGGAAATAGATGATCTGACTTCAGAAGCAAATAAACAAGTGTATTATGTAAGACTAGTCATTATGGTTTGTACTAATTCCTAGTGAAAGCCTAATTCACCTGTAAAACAGGATTTTCTAGGTGAATTCATGATGAATACGCAATTTATTATGTGTATGTGATGTGTCTAAAGATCTTAACAAACATGGGAGATATCCTGAGAATAGAACAATGTAAGAGCAGCATTTGGGTTGAAATTCAGGTGCATAAAATTAGAAATTTGAGTAACATTTCAGTCTTTATGTTTATTAGGTTTAATTAGGTTTAAAATTCAGGTTTATCATTGCTGGTGCACTAAACCTGTATACAAAGTAGCTAACAGTTTGATAAATAATTTAAATATGAAAAAAATTATTTTAATGGCAGTGGTTGAAAGAAAGAAGCATGGCTATAATGTATAAAATGCCATATTTTTTAATTTTAGATTTTGAGCATCTTAATGTGAGCACATACCAAATTAATTTTAATGAGAATCTTACATATTTGTTAATAAACTCTTTCATTTTAAAAGGATAATTGCCAATACAGAAAAGGGGTATCCAAACAATGTTTGTCTCAGACTGTTACTTTACTTGGCAGCATTATGTATCACAACTGCTGTCCAGAAATACTTAGACTGTTTTTGTGCACGAAGGAAGAGTCCACCACATTTTAAAAATAGCAATATTAAAATCGAATATAGGTATTTCCAAAATCATGGTAGTAATAACATACATTAGAATAGTACTTTACAGTTTACAATCCTCATTTCCATCATTTCATTTTCATCCTTGTGGCAATATTTTGAAGCAGATATTTTTCCTAGTTTGCTTTTGAAAAAAACTGACACTTAGACTTGCCCTAATTATGCAATTTATTTAGGGACAGATCCAGGGATCAAATGAAGTTCTCCTGATTCCCTAGTTCAGTGATATTTCCAGTACATGTTATCCTTGAAATCTAACTGGTTTATAATGTTAACAAAAGTTAGGTGAGATGTTGAAAAGAAAATAAATTTGGTAATGCTAGTGTTACTGTTATTTGGTTATTGTTTACAAGATATCGAAATTAAGTACACAGTACAAAAGTCATTGGTCTGTGGTTTAAAATGAACCAAGAAAGTTAGCAAATCTTTCAGTAACTATGCACTCATAATACTAATGTACCTCTACAGCCAGCAATCAGAAGGGGAATTAATTGTAGTATAGGTAAATTTAATATTTATTGAAAATAATGAGAAAGAATCTGTATAGAATAGTCGTATGAAATAAATCTTATCTATTCATGGGACTGGAGTTTGAAATAAAAACCCAGGAGTGGCATTTTAATCTCCTACTGTCTATGCCGCCATGTTGATAGGCCAGGAAAAATGGAGATGATCAGGTGTTAGTGGTTTAAAATTTTATTTACATATTTAGGCACAGGTATTATAGATGCTAATTCAGTGATTCTCAGACATTTTCAGGTGGTAGAGTTCCTGGAAGTCATTCATGATGACTTAGTAGAACATCATGACTTTTTCGATTCTTACATGCTAACTAGGACATTTTTAATTATCAGTAAGTGTAACTATCTTACATGAAGGAATGCAATATAAAAGCATAATAAGTACATCTGTCTAAGTTTTTTTGTTTTTTTTTGGTATCATTAGCTACTCATTTATTCATTTGTCAGTTACTACTACTTCCTTTAGTGAGGCAGGTATCAAAGGTTTAAAAAGATGCATGGAACCGGAACCAAAACTAAAATTTAATAAAATTATCCAATTATCTTAACTTCTATGTTAGCAGTTATCTAATTTATGCTACTGTAGGAGAAAGTCTAAGGCAACTGTCTTAAGTTTATTTTTAAAGGTATAAGATAAAAATGAAAAGTCCTCATTTAAAATGTACATAATTTTCATACATAATTTCATGCCTTAATTTTCATAATTTAAAAAATTAAAGCATATGGGGCCCAATCTACTGTGTTTTGAAACTTTGAAAAGAATGCCAAAACTAAGTTGTAATTAGCCCTTTTTTAATATATCCTACCAATGAACTAAAGTAAATAAGACTCATTTATAATGTACAAGATTCAAAGATATTTAAAATTTTGTACAAAAAACTACACATACTGTAATTTAAATGTTAAAGTTATAAGAAGAATATGTTCTCCATGAACTTTTTTGTGTCTATTTATTTTCTGAATTTTCTTTCAGGACCAATATCCTCTAACTTGGAGAGGAAAAAAAAAATCTGTGATTTGAATTTGTATTTATATACTATTTAACTGTTTCCATGTTCCAACAAACATACCATATTTTAGTATTCTTATAGTTATATTTTATGAAGAAAGTGAACAAGAGTGAGAAACTTAATAGCCATCTTTGAATATAACAAGGAATGAATGAGGAAAAGAAAAAGAAAGGATATTTCAATTATCAAATGACTTTTATCACGTTATCTATTTGCCCAAACTTTTGACTTCTGGTTTTTTTTTGTTTCTGTGTTTGTTTTGTTTTTTGTTTGTCAAAGAAAGCTACAGGTTTATGGAGCTTGATTTTTATTTATTTTATTTTTTAATTTTTAATTAAGTTTATTTGGGTAACAGTGGTTAATACAATTATATAATTTTCAGGTGTACATTATCATTTGATATCTGTATATTCTATTGTGTGTTTACCACCCAAAGTCCAGTTTCCTTCAGCTACCATATATTTGATCCCCTTTACCCACTTCACCCTCCCCCTATACTC